TTTTTTTCCTTCAGATACAAATGAAGAGTAAACAATGTTTTGGCAATTTTTAGGTTAATCATGTAGAACTGATTACTCAAGAAGAATGCTATTAACATTTAGTCAATTTATACCCTACAATATGACAAATTAAAATTAATGTTGCTGTTTTTAAGATATCAAATGGGTCATGATTTTAAGAAAAATGAGAACTGCTTTAGAAAACTGATAATATCTTCGAGCACAGTGAATCTAGTTTCTTCTAAAAAACCATTGAAATCCCCGTAAGAAAACAGCACACATAATTAAGTAAACATGATTCTGGTTTAGGTAGAGTGTGTATTTTGTTTAAACAGGTCATCTTTTAAAGTGTAATGTGGAATAATAATCAATTCTCAACAATTCCCTTTGGAATAGCTATGGTTAAATCTTGCCAATAGCTTGCTTAATAACAAAAGAAAGATTTTCCTTTTAGATTGAGTATATTCTCCTGATGAAGCTCTGTTTGATAATTTTTTCAATGTTTATAATCAGTCCCCTTTAGTATTCATTTAATTAGCTCATTTCAATACACTTCCTTGATGACTTGTGTATGTAAATATATATTTTAAGTCTTCCCCTTTATTTCCAAAGTAATTGATGTAATGAAAATATATAATTGTTATCTTTTGAATCATGTTTAAAATAATACATACTGCATATTATATAAATTACAGGGGAGAGGATTTTTTTTCTAATTTTACATAATAGACATCTCCATAATGTACACTTTATTCATGTATGTATACCAAGTGCTCACAAGATCCTTCAGAGTCCCTTATATTTAAAATAAATCCATTAACAGTGATGAGTTCCATCCCATAGTTATAAAGTGACTATTTACTTATTTATTCATGAAAGAACTGGGGTGTAGGCAAAGGTTCAGGGTGGGGGTAGGGTGGAAACAGTGGGGAGCAGAACAGATGGATTTACTGAAATACATAAATAAAGGGAGCAGTGGGCAAGACAGAAGAGGTCTGCTGAGCCATGTGGATTAGCTCCCCGGGCTGGGATAGTGGTGAATGCACTGAGACTCGACTCCAGTGCCACCAGCGTGGCCCGTATAGAGTGACAGCTAATGATCTTTTCTGCCCTGTCAATAATGTCATAAACCCTAGTTGGATCATTTAGAAGATCTGCTTCCATTTCATAATAACATACATATTTCCCGTGATGTCTACCTGAACATTATTTACATATTGCCATGTCTAGTGGCAATTTATCCATCTTTGGTGGCAGGACTGCTCCTGTGTAATTTAATTGACTTAGGCAAAATTTTAGAGCCTTTTGATTTTCTATACTTTACTCTTCAACTTAGCAGAAAAAAAAACAACAAAACCCTAGAGGTCCTCTTTTCAACTTAAGGGCTGGATAAAGCCCTTTAACAAGACTCTTGCACTCACAGAGCTAGCAACTCTGAACATATCTTCTCTGAAAATTGTTTCACCGCTCAAGTTCAATTCTGAGTAGATTAGCAACATGTAGGTCAAACCCAGGAGTAGGCCCTTTGGTTTCTCTGTAGAGAGTGCACTGTGTTCGCTTCTCACTTGATATTGTAGTTGGAAGACTGTCATGGTCATTTATCCAAATGCCCATCTCACCCTTGACTGTTTTAAACAACTTTATTAAGATATAAATTTTAAAAAACTACCCATTTAAATGATATATTCACAAAGTTGGCTACAGTCAAATTTGGGATATTTTTGTCATCTTCAAGATAAATTCCATACTTATTTGCAGACTTTTGCAAGCTGTAATGCACTTTCTGTTCTTCTTGTGGACACTTTCCATAAATGGGATCAGACATGCTGTGGGTCCTTTGCAGCTTCTCTCACTTAGGATATGTTTTCAAGTTTCATCCATGTTGTAGCATGTATCATCACTTCATTTTTATTATTGCTGAATAATTCTATTGCATGGCTTTATCACATTTTATTTGTTTATCAATTGAGTCCAAGTTAAAACTTTGAACAGGATTTGATATGTAGCACTGCCAACTCCTATTAACCAGTGGACACCAGTAGGTCAATATTAATTTTTATGATTCTGAAAACATAGGATGGTCTCTGTCTTTTCTAAATTATACCAGAACCCAAATGGACTGAAGCAACCAGGCAGAGATACTGGTCATGATCACATATAACTTATCCATTCCCAGCTGCCACAACAACTTACTACTTATTTTGTTACCAAGGGAATCTGAGATTCACTATAAAAAGCAAACATTGGCTTTTCTTAAAAATTAAGCCATTGAATATTTTTCTAAGTAGAATATGTCAATGCCTTTGACATAATATAAAACATATCATCTAAATATTTTAAGTCACTGAGAAAAGAAGTCATGCCTTATTTTTTGTTTATGTGTCAGGGTGAGCAAATGCTAACATTGCAATGTCATGTAATATGGGTGATAGACTTTATTGGGGAAATATAATTTAAGGGTCAAGGATTTAAAGGATGGCAGTTGTCTCTAGTTGTCTATTAAATGAAGAGAAAGACAAACTGGGACTACTTAGTGGAGTAATCCTCCAGGACAGGAACCCAGCCTCACTGCTCTGCTATATTCTAAGGGTAGAGGTGTGAGAATAATCTTGGATGTAGGATATAAAAAGATAGCACTTAGGCAGCAGATAGTTTTCATGAGAAATCCAGCTGGACAGGAAATTATCTGAGGATGCTGGCAGCTAGCACCTGGTGATCCTGGGATAAATATGACTCAGACTTTTAAGGAAGGAAGTATTTGCTCCAGTCAGGCAATCTGAGGTATTGGCCATTTTTACTGGAAGACATTTTGTATTATGTCCCACTAAAAACTCAGTGTTGATAAAAATAGTTAATTAATGTTTACTGAAGGAAATAAGACAAGCAACTGTATCCCTTTTCACCAATCTACATATAATAAGAAATTATCTTTTTATCCTATTTCCTATAGAGCAAGTAACTTGCTATACTTAACTTCACAATAACTTGTTACTTAATTATCACCCCTGAGACTTAACTAGAGTGAAGTAAACTGTTCAATGTTTGCTGGATTAATTATAACTATAATTTGAACCTAGATCTATCTGATTCTCAAGTCCATGAACCCTCTCATTTTGCCTTATCAAGTGAAAATTTTACAGAACTATTTGTGTGCTCAGTTGTATCTATTTTTATGCATTCAAAAGTTTTTATTTGGACAGTAGAATTCATTTTTACTCTAGCAGTTTTTCATCGTCACTTAAACACAGCTTTCTTTACACTGTTACCAAAGTCAGGATTTCAGGTTCAGTAAAGTGTCAAAAAAAAATCTGGAAAATGAGGATAGAGAGATTTTTTTTCCCTTTTGTTTTACCTAGAACAAGTTTGGAATCTGAATTAAAGTTGAAATGGGCAGAATACAGAAAACCATGAACTATCTCTCTTAATTTTTGAAAAATGATTTCATGTAGCACCATAAATCAGAAAAATGGAAGAAGTTGATGTGAAAAGCAATTTATGGGCATAGAAAGGAAGAGGGAGTTGTCACAATAACTGTATATTGACCAGTAAACCAAATAATGAGAGGGATTATGTGTGGTGGTTTGGATACTCTTTAATTAGCCAAGAAATTCTTAGTTCAAACTAAATATTACTTGGATACATAATAAAATAACAATCATAACTTCTATATTTCTGTTCCTGTTATTATTTGATGGAGAAGTGAAATCAGTCTAATTTTCATGATAATTTTTCTTCCTCAGACATCATCTAATCAGCGGTTTTTTATATTCCTATTAAAATAGTTTAAGATTTATAATCATGTTTGGAATCAAATTATTAAATTTTATCACCCTTGAAGTCTAAGGCCATGTTTTGATCTTCTCTATAGCTTTACTGAGTGTCCAATAAACAGCAACACACACACACAGACATGCACACACACAATACAATTATATATATATATATATATATATATATAATTTGTCGACATGTATGTATTTGGCCAACACTGTGCCCACTTAATATCTGATTTTCCTTCTCCTTTTTTACGCCATAACTTAATAGTTGTCTTAAATAACTAATTATATATATTTAATACATATACACACAAAAAATTGCTCAGTGTTGGCCCCAATCTATTGTGTGGCCATCTGCTAAGGGTAGCAGAGTACACAGTAACCTGTATGCCTTACTTGCCGTATATCTGGTTCTAACTTCAACCTCTGCTTGCGTTAAAGAAATGTTTTGTTTATTATTGTGTCTGTAGCATTTACTTTGGTCCCTGAAATTCAGCACATTCCAAAACAAATGTGTTGGATGAAAGAATCTTTCAAGTGTCCAACTACACTTTGAGTCCTAATGGGTAGTGACATGTATTTTATGACATTTGGTAAAGTTCAGCAGCATTCATATGAAGTGCTTGACTCTGAGCCTGGCAACTAGTAAGATCTCTGTAAATCCTGATAGCCTGAATTAAGGTTCTGGCTTTACCTCTTACTAGAAGGGTGACCGTGGAAACATGTCTTTTTCTCCACCCCTCAATTTGTTTTTTTTTTTGTTTGTTTGTTTTTTAAGATTTGTTTATTTATGATTGCAAGAACTTGGGTACAGGCCAGAGATGTGGGAGGTGAGAGGATTCACTAGAGATAGAGTGGGGAATAGAACAGGCAGAGATAGACCGAAGTACGCTCCTGAGGGGAGCAGCAGGCGAATCAGGAGAAGTCTGCTGAGATATGTGGGTAGCTCCCTGGTTTGGGATCGAACTCGTGCTGCAGAAGCTGTGGACAGCTTCACAATGCTGCTCTCAACCCCTTGTGCCACCAAGGAGGCCTACCACCCCTCAATCTGTGCTTCTGTATTCCAGAGATAATACCAGTAACTATTTCATTGTAACAATGAAGTGTGCTGGTAGGTAGGTAGGTAGAATGGAAGACAGGCAGGCAGGGAGGGAGGGAAGAAAGGAAGGAAAAGCAATTTAGTACAGTGTTCAATTCATAATAAATATTTTATAAAGACAGGTTTTATTAATATATATTTAGAGAGGCAAGAGCTTCCTTTCAGATAGATGATGTATAAAACTATCCTTTTAAAGCAAAGTTGTCCAGCTCTCTTCTGAAAAAAAAAAGGAAAAAAATTAAAAAAAACACATAAAAGATTAGATGCACAAATGTCCAAAAAACAAACAAACAAACAAACAAACAAACAAACAAAACAAGGAAGTGTCTGTCATAGTGAAGTAAATAAATTAAGACTAAAGAAAACGTTAGGAGCAAAGAAGGACTTAAATAAGCACACATACTGCTTTTTATGTTTCTCCCAGATATCCAAATGATGTAAATCTACCAAAAAATTTTAAGTAGTCCCCTAGACATTGGCCTGATCTTCCAAAATAATGTTTGTGTTATGAAGAGTTGTATTCACATTTTAATCATAATAGTTAGCCTTATTAAATTTTTACCACAGTAGACATTTGTGTAAGTGTCTTCAGTTTTTTTACTTTTCAATCAACACAACCATATGAATAATATCATTAATATTATTTTTTATAAATGAGGAATCTGAGACAGAGATAGGTTTTATGTCCAAGGTCACGATGTCAGTAAAGAATGAAGATAAGAGCTCAGTAGGTCTGGCTCCAGGTGTGTTCCCTAAACAAAAGTGTCTTACAGAATGAATTTTAATTTTTACATTATTTTTTTAAAGATTTATTTATTTATACAAACAAGTACTGGGGTAAAGGCTAGAGGTGTGGGGGATGAGAGAATTCACCAAGGACAGAGTGGGGAGCAGAATAGGCAGATCTACTGAAACACTGCTGAGGGGAACAGCGGGCGAGAAAGGAGAGGTCTGCTGTGCCATGTGGGTTGCTCCCTGACCAGGAATTGAACTCATGCTGTAGTGACTGGGCATAGCTTGATAGTGCTGAGACTTTACCCCTTGCACCACCAGAAAGGCCCAACTTTTACATTCTTTGATCCTTCAGATTAGGTTGTTTTTAACTCCTTCATACTTGGCCAAATATAGAAGGTGTTGTTATTTTTATGTACCCAAATTAGTTGTTACTGAGGCAAGATTGGTTTACAATATTGCATATGACTTAGAGATGTAGGATCACAGCCATCAATTGTATGTTACCACACCACACCTACCACCAAGGCACCTAAAGTCCTGTACCATAGTCTAGTGTTCCCCTTCCTCACTTTGCTTCTCCCTCCTCTAGCTTTCTATTTGAGGTTTCTCCATGTCTCACATCATCTTACTTACTTGTCCATGTTACTGACAGGCAGCTTTGCGCTTAAACCCAGGAGTATATATTCATTATTCCAGCATACATATCTGGATCTCTTTGTAACTGATATTTGCCTTTTCAGTCTCAAATTATCCTTTATCATTTTACTTACTATAAACAAAATGCTCAGTGATTTTTCAATACTCCATCCATCATCCATTCAAGCACCCATTCATCCATTCATCTAACCATAAGAATAAATTCTATCCACCCCAATTTGAGACTGTGTAACATGGTCATTTAGAAGCTCAGTTACACAGCGAGGTGACATGACTCATGGCTAATATCAGTTTGAGTTATCTCTGTATTTTATTCTACCACCTTTTAGCATTGGTTGCTAAATGACAAGTGGTGACTAAAGGAAAAGATATTCACATTTCTTATTAGGAAGGTCATATAACAATGAAGAGACAAGAATATTTTAAATGATATTTCATATTTGAATAGAGCTTCCAGTTATGATTTTACTGAATTTTCTTATTTTCTTATTTATTCCTGGCAACAAGTTCTGCTAATAATGCCATTATTGTCATTAGTAATTAGGGATAATAGTGTGCTATTGCTGAAGAGTTGAAAATAGGAGGAATAATTTATTTTCTCTAAGTTTTAGTTTTTTAAATCAGCATTTATTAGATAAGAAGAGAGATGAACAGAGTCTCTCATGAGATTTAACTTGAACTTAATAGAGTACATCATGATATATAAAGAAATAGTGCCAAAATGGGGATTGATCAGTCATGAAGACAGATGTAATTATTCACAGATGATAATGTTGGAAATAAGTATTATTTCAAGTACTGTCCACAGATAGAGCCTTAAAATATGGACTATTTCAAAACCACTGGCAAAATCAAGCCTTGCTATTATGACATTATAGCATAAGGCTATGTGAGTCAGACACGATTAACACTTCAATTTAGCTAACTCATTTTGTGTTGCTTCTACATTCACCAAATAAGCTAATTATGATTGGCTTCCTCTGTCGATCTGCCTACAGGAGAGAAAAGGATTGATTTTGTAACTTTAAATATACTGGATTATGTGATAGTTATTTTATTAGTTGAATACTCTGGGTTGAAAGTAAGAGAGACCTCTTTATGCTAGCTTTAAGCCAAACAAACAAACAAGGAAATATGAATGTGATTGATAATGAAAATGTTCTGCAAGAAACAGAATGTGTCTTAGAATTTGTGGGGATGCCTGCAGACTGGTCTCAAAAGGAGTTAAATGAGAAGCTGGAAGTCCACAGAAAGCCCATAAAACCCTCTCTTTCCAACTCTCATTTTTCTTCTCCACATGGAAGCTTCCTTTTCCACTTTTTATAAACAATTATTTCTGTTCTCTAGACTACACAGGAATTGCAAGATCACTACATGGTGTTTCTCGTGTTTCCCTAGAATCATGTTGCTACTTTTATTCATAAAAAATCAAAACTTGTCCCTACTTTTTTTTTTTTTTTAATTTTTGAGGTATAATTGAAACACTTATGTCTCATGCATTCCCTAGGGCCTTCCTCTTTGCTCCCTTTAGGTAAAACCCACGTGAAACCAAGCTGTGTTTTTGATTTGAATTGTACATTCCAAACTTAGTCCTGAAATTTCAAAGCCCTCAACCCTGGGACCACAGTAAAACCAGCTGCCATAGTGTGACAAAGTCTAGGCCCCAAGGAGAGGCCACAAGTGGGTCTTTACTAACATCTCTGGCCAGCTGGGGGATGATCATTAGTCTTGACCATCAGATATTAATCCAGCTCCTGCCTCAAGTCTTACAGCTCAGTCCTTTGATATCGAAGTAAAGATATAAGCCATTTGCATTGTGTTCTGTCTACATAGATAGATAATAGAGAAATAATAAAGATAATAGAAGAATCTTGATTGATAATTGCTGTGTGTATCATGAAATTTTGAAATAAACTGCTACCTAACAACAAATAAAAAAGTTGCCGTTGGTCCAGTAATTTCAAATTTGGTATGTACTTAAAAAAAAAAAAAATTAAGAAAAAAAACTTGCAGAATAATATATATGAAAATGTTTGTTGGATTTTAATTTGTAAGAGCATGTATCTTGAAAAATCATCTAAATGTCCATAAATCTAGGACTGACTAAATAATCTTAGAATATACATACTATGAAATACTCTGTCATAATTTAAAAATTCAAATGTGTCTATGTGGAAATTGTGTAATTCATGCTGCTGAATAAAAATAGCAAGGTACAGGGCCTCTGTGTATCTGCACCTGGTGGTGCAAAGGGTTAAGATGCAACCTATGGAGCTGTTCGCGGCCACTGCAGCAGGAGTTCGATCCCCAGTCAGGGAGCTACCCATATGCTGCAGCAGACCTCTCCTGCTCCCCTCAGCAGTGTACTTCAGTCAGTCTGCCTGTTCTGTTTCCCACTCTGTCTCTGGTGAATCCTCTCACTCCCTGCATCTCTGGCCTACACCCCAGTTCTTGTATGCATAAATAAATATATCTTTAAAAAAAAACAACAACAAGGTACAGAAGGGAACACAACATTCACATAACACACACATATAAATAGCCCTCAAATAATATCCCATATTTTCTATTGAAATATAAAAGTAATTGATAAATAATGCGAAATGATGCACACTAATCTACTGCACAAATCAGGTGTCGTATCAAAATGCAGCCTACTATGAATTAACTAGAAGGCTAGAGAGAAAGGGGGCATGTTCTTTCCCAGTTATTGAACTGATCCTTAATGGTAGTATTGTATTTTAAATATGTATCTCACAATAATCCTATGAAATACATATTGTCATATTAAATACAGAAAATAACCTAAGAGTGTTCAACAGGTGGTGTATCAACTACATAATTGCCTCTAGTGAGCCTAATTTCTGCCTGCTGAGCAAATACAAGTACCTTTACAGATTCATATTGCTTTTGAGATGTATCTTTACCTAAATAATTTATTGAACTCACCTAGCCTAAATTTTCTCATGCTGTTCCAAGAAACAAATCAGATGTGTGACATGATTGCTTTAATTACTTCAGTATTTTGGAAACCAATTGTAGTTTAAAGTAAACTATTTAGACATTTTTTAACTTAGTTTATCTGTTCCTTCCTTTATTTAGTGGGTATTTCTATTGTACCAATACCTGTGCACATTCAGATAAAGAGTTCTTTATAGTCCTCTTTGAGTATTATGTTGAATGATACAGAAGTTTCCAGGCATGTTCTAAAAATAATGGGCAAATACAATTTTTATGAAGATTGCTTATTTATCTGTACTAATTCCAGTATTGTATGCAACAGATTTTCCAGCAGAATGTAATATAAACAGAATTTAGGTTTGATTTTATTGAAATATCATTACTATGTTTGAGGGAACTAGAACTGCCTCAGTGATAACCCATCAAACTGGTAGACAAATTTTAAGCCTTGTCCCCGCTTGTGACTATGCTTCATTTTTGTGAGAAGTAACCTTATCAAATGTGACATCCATATTTTATCTTACGTTACTTCCAGTTTAGTCTTTATTTCAAAATGGCTTCAAAACAAATATTTCAATTTTTCTGTTACATAGCGAGTGATTATTTTTTTTTAATTGAGATAACTTTGGTTTACAACACTGTGATTCGGAGGTATAGCATCAGAGCTCTTCATCTTTATCACAAAAGAATCCGAATATAACAAATTTTAACACCTATGTTTATCGTAACTGAACTGAAAATTTATAGAAGAACCAGAACTACTATGGTCCTACATTAGTTGAGGAAAGAATAAAGGAAGCAAAGCAGTTTTAAGTAGAGACTAGGTACTAGGAAAAAAAGTCCCAGGGATGTACAGAGGTATGAAGTGGTGAAGGAATTGTCAAGAGCTCATACTGGCTGATCACAGTGTGTTTGTGTGTGTGTTATATGCAGTAACACATCACACACTGTTGCCTACAGACACTATCAACTACGGGAATATGAAGTAAAATGTGCAGGGGAATGAGCAGGAAGTGATGAAATGATCTGTCAGGATCCAGGTACCATAGGCCTTAAGGCATTAAGAATTTGTTATATTCAGATTCTTTGTGATGTGTTGGTTCTCCTTAATTCTCAACTGCTCTTTTATTAACTGAATACAATTTAAATCACCATGAACGTTCAGGTACTACAGTTTATCATCTTATGTCAATGCTATCCATCTTTGTATGTGTATAGTGCTGTGCTTTGTCACTTGGCCATTATACCACCCATTAGTTTTCTTGAACATATTCTTTTCTATAATAACGAGTCAGTGTCAAGAAATCTTGTGGTAAGAGCTTGATATATTTTTAACTGGAGGACTCCTTTTAAAAATGAGTCAATGATGAAGGATTATCTTGTACTAAGAGAAAAAATAGTAGAAAGGTAATGAATCTGGACTTTGACATGTCGTATATCTTATGCAGGGACACCCAAGAATTATTGAGAATGTTGGAAATATGCCAGGAATGATCATGGAGGGATAGTGGCCAGGTTGATGATGATGCATTGTCATTTTACTTTTGGAAAATCCTGTGAGGCTCACTACGGAGTCTGGCAATAGCAATTACAATTACTGTACTTCATTTTATTCACTTGGGCAAAATAATGTCATTCCACTTAAAACATACAAAATTACAAACTAATAATAAAGCTCTCTTAATGGCCCTTAGAGTGAGGAGTTAACCTTGATGATAAAGTGATGTAAGGCTTAATAAACCTTGTTTCTGGCCAAGTCCCAGAGAGAGTGAATTCTGTGTGATTCAGCTTATGGAATCAATAATAACTGACTTCTGCCTGGCACTAGGTAGGAAGATCACTCAGACTTTTCTTGCCACCCTAACAGTGACTTCTTTCTTTTCTTATCATCAAATGACTCTCCTGTGTGACATGAACCTCACTGCTCAAGTATAGTTTGACTAGGCCTCCCTGAAAAGGACACTGTCACTTATGAACACAAATTCAGCACACTTAAATATTTTATAACAAATCATGGTGAATATTTGAAAGCAGCCAATAACAAGTCTTGTCATGTATTGGGTAAACACACCAGAGCTGTATGTAATTGAAGATCTTTTGTAAAAGAAAAATGTTGAGCAGCTCTATTGTAGTTTTCATTTAAAAAACTTATAGACCTGGGTATTAATAGCTATTATAGATACAGAAATTTAATATTGTGGAATTCTGAGGAAAGGGCTTTGGGACAAAAACCCTGCACAGGAAAGCAGGGTTTTCCTCACTAAATTCATGCTTTTTTAGTCTTATAGACTCTAAATAAAACCATTTTCTTTTGATGGTGCTGGCACAAACTAAAACTGAAGATGTGGAATCATGTACGTAAAACTCTGAGAGCATGAGGTACAAAATATGCTGATGTATTTATGTTCAATAGAATTGGTGAGGACCCACGTACTTTCAGGTACTGTTTAAGAAGGCAATCAAAAACTTACTTGAGTCTAAAATCACCATAAGGATCATTAGTTACACACTCCACATGTATAATGGCCTTATGCTGTAATATTTGATCCAGATGAGATTCTGGAGTTAGCTTGACAGGTATCCATTCTTACAGCCAGTTCTGGGCAACATCTTCCTTGGCAAGATGACCTGGAGCTCTCTTCCTATGACCAGTTTGGTACATTCTTTCATTAGATATGTTAATTCTGTTTTACATAAATAATAACAGAAATGCATCTGTTATGAAGTAATAGAAATAGTTTGAATGCAATGAAATCTAAGAGCCAGTTTACCTGCTGAGAATTTATAGGTCGGCAAACATAGTGAGGTCCAGGGGCTCAATTCTCAGTATTCCATACTGAATTCCATGGGTATGACCAAACCTGAAGTTAGTCTTGAGCATTGTGAGCACAGTCTATGTAATCCTCTTCCTAAGTATAACACAGGGAGAGTAGGCAGGGCATTTTTCTGTTATCCATTAAATGGAGAAAGAATACATTTCCCGGGAGTGAGAAAGAGTATGAGTTAGCAGATCAAGGACCTAGAAGATATCAGATTGAAGCATGTAATTGAAGGTCAGTGGAGACTGTGTCCATGAGAATATTGCCAGCATGGCAAAGCAGTGACCATGGGGAAGCAGAGAAGAGTTTGCTGCTGAGCAAGGTCATGGACAGGAACCTACTCAGATCAAACTTTTTCTCTTGAAGTTATGATCAGTAACTTAGCCTGGTTATTCAAGTTGAGTTATCCAATTCATGGAAAAGAAAGGGAGAAAGAAGAAATCCTAATTGGCCGAGTTTAAGCTTGAAATATCTGAAAAAAAAAAAATATATTGTAGCGGTAAAGCTTTTATGATGCTGACTACATTGATTTTTCTATCACTAATCAGAAAAGAGTGTCAAAGAAAAGATGAAATGAACATGATTTGGAAATCCACGTCGGTGTTTTGTTTGTGTGTGTGTGCGTATGTAAATATAAATATATACATACATATAAAGGACTATGAAGTTTATACTGGGATTTAAAGCATTTAAAACATATAAAAATGCACTTTTTTGGTTATTGAAGAGAAAAGTTGGGTAGCTATAATACAAATTTGTAAAACAACTGTTCACAAGTATTTCAATATTATTGGCATAATGACAACATATATGCTGTCCTGATACACTTTTATGATGAGATTTGTAATACAGAATTAATGTTATTGACTTTGTTGTTAGGTTCTTTAAAAGTTCTGTTTATGAGTGTGTAATGTTTTAATGATGGCATGTGAAGAAGAGGAATTGGAATATTCCTGACCAAATTTTGAGCTATAGTGGCCTCAAGATAGCTTACGCTTTTTTATTTCTCTTATACAGCAATTTGTACTAATTACAACAATTCATTTTAGCTAACACATGTGGAAAGAAATAAAAATGTGGAACCATACATAATGATATTGAAACTGAGCATAAAATTTTAAAATAAAATTTAATATGAGTGATTTCATGCAGCTGCATATTCATACATCGCTTCTCCCTATTTAGTTCCCCAAATATTTTATTAGTTTGTGTTATTCCATGATCAATGTGAATGCCATAGCCCAAACAATTCTTAGCAATAAGTAAAACAGGAGAAATTCATTATCATATAAACTTCTTAGAAATAATAGTGAGTTTCAAGTCATTGAAAATAGCAATAACCAAATTAGATGTTATCAGACTTTGCTAATACAAAATACATGTTTCAGCATTCTATTATTTGAGTACTTGAGGAATTAGATGCCACTGGCAATGTTAGATTTGATTTAGAAGGTTTAGGCCCACTACTTAACAAGCTTAGTTATGAATATTAGCTAAATATCGTATAGATCTAGCAAAAAATCAAAGTATAACAAATGAGTTGGAATCTTTTTTAAATCCCATTTGATTTTAAGAGGTCAGAAATCATAACCAGGGAAAGTATTAATAGTTCCAGAAATGAGCAATTTTACTTAATCTAGTAATTAAATGACATATTTACTTTCTCTAACATGTAGAAGGTAAAATTCTGGATTCTTAGAAAATACAATTATAAAAGCACTATTTGTTCTCACAATGAATTAAGTATCTGTTTTGATTAGCTGACCATAAATCTGTGGGTTTCAGTCAACTAATCTTTGACAGAGGAGCAAAGAATATGCACTGGAGCAAAGAAAGTTTGTTCAATAAATGGTGCTGGGAAAACTGGATAGCAACATGCAAAAGAATGAAGCTTGACTACTACCTCACACCATGCACAAAAACCAATTCAAAATGGATTAAAGAACTAGACATAAGACCTGAAACCATAACATACATAGAAGGAAATATAGGCGAAACATTACATGACATGCACCTCAAAGACTTCTTTACAGACACATCACCCAAAGCAGTGATAGTAAAGGGAAAGATAAACAGCTGGGACTACATCAAATTAAAGAGCTTCTGCACAGCAAAAGAGACAATAACAAAAACAATGAGAAATCCCGCCGAATGGGAGAACATTTTTGCACACAACACTAATGATAAAGGACTGATCACAAAAATCTACAAAGAGCTGATGAGACTCAACAAAAACAAAGAAAATAATCCAGTCAAAAAATGGGCAGATGAGCTAAAAAGAAACTTCTCCGAAGAGGAAATGCAAATGGCCAACAGGCATATGAAAAAATGTTCAACATCACTTGTAATCAGGGAAATGCAAATCAAAACTACCATGAGATACCATCTTACACCAGTGAGAATGGCACATATTAAAAAAGCTAGCAACAACAAATGTTGGCGAGGTTGTGGAGATAAAGGAACTCTCCTGAACTGCTGGTGGGAGTGCAAACTGGTCCAACCACTATGAAGAGCTGTGTGGAGATTTCTGGACCTACTAAACCTAGAGCTTCCAGCAATTCCACTCCTAGGTATTTACCCAAAGGACACAGAAACATCAATTCCAAAGAGCACCTTCACCCCTATGTTTATAGCAGCACTGTTTGCAATAGCTAAGCTATGGAAACAACCCAAATGCCCAAAAATAGATGACTGGATCAAGAAGATGTGGTACATATACACAATGGATATTACTCAGCAATCAAAAAATATAAACATATGCAGTTTGTAGCAACATGGATGGAGCTGGAAGGGATCATGCTCAGCGAAATAAGTCAGAAAGAAAAAGAAAAATACCGGATGGTCTCACTCATAGCAGGAATGTAGAAAACCTAAATAAGAGACCAGGAAAAAGACTAATTAATACAAAGTAAAAATCAAAATGAACAAGCAACTATAAACCAGAGACACACTACAGGGGGGGAGGGAAGGGGAGAGGAAGGACTAGGGTCAAAATAACGGGGGGGGGTGCAATTGTATGGGGAATATAACCAAAATGAAAATGCATACATTGTGCAAAAATGAAAAATGATTTAAGTATTATATAAAATAAAATATTAAAAAACAATTTATTTTGAGAGAAAACAGGAAAGGAAAGCAAGCAAAATGAAATTTATTAAAATGGATATTATAGAGATGGTAAGGGATGCTGAGGGGCTCAATGGATTTAGAAGCCAGCTGAATGAGATAGGTAACAGAGCACTAATGTAAATTATCAGTGATGATGTCTTCTGAACAAAGGGTCACATTTCATAGCCCTTCTTACATCAATGTGCCTTCTCTTTTATTTCTTTCCACTTCCCCTATACTAACATCTTAGCAAAGGTCTTAAGATGGAGGGAACCAGGGTTCCTGAATCATTGCTCATCAAGAAGTTTGTCATTGGACTAATAAGTGAACATATCAATCCCCTGACATTTTGGGATAATTTATTAAGCAGCAAATGCAACCCTAACTGATCTATCAGTTCTTCCTGAAGATTTGGAAAAACTTCAAAGTAGATTTCTTATATATGAGGTTTTTCAGGGGATGCATATAGAAAAGATCGAGGTAAGGTGGAAGAGTTATTTGTAGGAAACAACGTGAGCAAAGACACGGGAATATGAAAAAAAAAATGTTCATGTGAAATATTTCCAGTTATTCAGTTTCAGATATAAAGAGGAAAGAGGTAAAGAGAAGTCTAGAAAAGTAAAAAAGTACAGGGCCTTTTTATGGAGAACCTTCTATATTCATGCATAGACTGAATATGTTTAAAAATGTACATTTTTAATGTACATTTCATAGAGTAGTACATTTACTTTAAACCATTTTCTCAAGGAAGAAAGAAAGAGAAACAAAATTGGGGTTGATTATGGAGTTTTATAAGTATATTTACATTATTAATATATGGGTAAGCAGTCATGTAAGGGAATGGTAAGGCTAGAAAGGAAAACTGATCAGAGATCTTATTAATCAGTATAGCATCAAATAAATTAAGAACAGAAGCCATCTTGTCAAAACAAAATAATATTAAATTTCAGTGTGTTGAAGTGAATGTCTAATGTAGTTTGGGTAGTTTATAGATTGAATTGTCTCCCCCAGAAAGATGTGTTAAAGACCTAACCCCTACCATCTAAGAATATGATATCTTGGAATAGGTTCTCTGTAGATGCATTCAAGTTAAGATGAAACCATTAGTTCGGGTCCTAGTACAATTTAACCAGAATCTTTATTAAAAAAGAAAATTTGGACACAAAGACACACACAGAGGGGAGACAGTATGATGAGACACAGGGAGAAAATGGCTATTAACAAACCAACAAATGCCTGAAGCTACTATTATCTAGGAAAAAATGTGGAAAAAATCCTCCCTTAGAGTCTTCAGAGAGAGCAAGATCCAACTTGCACCTTGATTGCATATTTCTGGCCTCCAGAACTGTGAGAACACACTTTGTTGTTGTTGACACTTTGTTGTTATGGCAGCCTTAGAACACTGATAAGGGTAGATTTCAAACTTTGTGTAATTTCACTATCTGAAAGAAACCTCCAAAGTAGACTTAGGAGAATAGAGGTTGCACACTGTTTCTTACCTGCCTTGGAGAAAATTGACATCACTTCCATTTATAGTCCAATAACCAGAGGTAGACATATGTCCTCAGTATAATTGTAGGAGAGTCCCAGACAGGTAGGAAAGTGTTTTTGGTATTTGGGGTACAGACACTCTATTCATTGTTTTTGTTTTTTTTTTTTTTTTTTTTTTTTATTCATTGTTACAGCAGTTAAAGTATACACATCTGTAGTCTTAATTAATTAACTAATTAATTCAGTTTCTACCTTTTAGCAACATT